GGGTTGGGAGTGGTATAGTCACCTGAGGAGCCAGTGTCTCGTAGGAGCCTACACGGGCCAACTCGTAGGGTGGCTCCACCTAGAGACAAGGGAAGACAATTGTTATGGACAATTCTGGTGAGAGTTAGTTCCCCTTTTGTTCTACTTGAGAACATGTGTGAGTGGTTAGTAGTCATAACGTTTTGTAACGGGTGCAATGTTCCGCCAGCATCAAATAGGGGAAAATTGTTCCAGAAAAAGAATCTCTTGCCACGTTTTACTCAATGACTGAACCCACTGACCAGGAAGTTGAGAAAATCCCTAGGGACAAGGAAAAATAAATAAATCAGTAGAACATTAACTTCTGAATATTTTCTCCTGTTCTGTATTCATTCACAAAGTTCAGCTTCTGCTATAAAGAAATGTGATCACCGCCCACAATTCTAAGTTCGCCGTGGCTTTTTGAAAAAGTTATTTTTTCTTTCCCGTGGATACAAGACTTGGGTTGAAATACTTTTAGGACAACGGATAAGTGTGGTCAGAGCAAATGAAGGAAGGCAAAAAAAAAAGAAAAAAAAAAGAAGGAAATTAGAGAGAGAGAGAGGCTTTGCAGACGCCTGTGTGGATCAACTAAACGATGGTTCAGGGCCAAGCACGGCAAAAAGTTGGCAGAGATGAGTTTGCGCAAACATAGAAAACAAAAAACCCCACAAAAAACAAAAAACAAAACAGTAGTGTTCCCAAACTTTTCACATCAAATAACAAACAGATCTAACAGTCATTCAGAAAAACATAAACAAAGCGACGGAGAATGAAATGCGAAAATGAAGCATGGACGAGTGGAAGGGGCCACCCCTCTGTGGAAGTGTTGACTGCCAACAAAGCATTAGAGGCCAGAAGAAAGGTGGAGCTAAGATATTCGAACCCAAAGCATCGATAGGCTATCAGGTGTTGTTGTTTCTCCCTCTTTTCTTTTGAGAGATACCTGTCTGAATGATTAACGATTTGACGATGATGGTGGAAAAGTAGCACACAAAAAACCCCAACATAAATAATAAGAAACAGGTTTTTAATGCAATGAGGTTAAAAAATGAATAAAACATCCATTGCCTTCTGACAGCTTCACAAGAAATTATTCCCTACCAGAATCTATGCTTCAGTTTTGGAAGGATAAATAAAGGGGTGTGCATGAAGAAATGCTCGTCTAAAACACTGAATGCACACAGCAGTGATCAAACTCAACGCGCAAAATCCAGAAAAAAAGCACAGGCCCAAAAAACGAAAAATATAATTGAAGGAAGGATACCGAGGAAATAAATAGAAAAGTCATGCAAAACGGAGCATTCTAAGGGAAGATGAGGAAGAACAGATGACATTCAGAGACACCAAAAGACTCTTGCCGAGTTGTCGGAGGCACTGCATCTAAGCTCTGAACACAAACAGAAATGTGGCGTTAACCCAAGCGGAACAACACGGAGGGGACACACGAGGAGGTACGGCATGACATGACCCGGCAGGCTGGACCCACTGCTTCTCAACAGGAACATTTAGAAACTTGGACATTGACCCTTTTGATGCTGACAAAGAACATTGACCGATACTTATTTTGAAAACATGTAATGAGTATCTGATTAAATAAAATCTTGCAACATAAATACATAGTTCTAGCAATTACTCTCAAAACTAAAATGAACAGTAGGGGGTGACTTTAGTTCATACAATAAGGAAGTAATGTTAAGTAGTCACACCCTGTTAAAATCAACCTGCAACAACTCCACAAAATAATGTTCAGCTGTAACCAAATATGTTCCCACATTTCGAAGGGGTTAAAAGAAAACATAAAAACATGGTCATATCAGATTAAGATCAAATTGAATGCAAAGCTCAATTCTTGTTCTCGAAACTAAACCCACCACCATTTATCTTTTCAGTGACGGGAACGCATTTATTATTTTAAAATAATGAAAAAAAACCCGACTTCATGCAAGTGTCAATTTGAAAACCAAAAAAAAAGCATAATCAAAATAATTAAAAACAACCACCACATATTTTTTTTCCTTGTCAATTTGCACACACGAGACTGAACTGCAATGCTGATATCTGAATGCTCCTTTATCATGATCGAGAATGTTTTATGCACTTTTATACTACAAAAACTAGATCACACAGGAGGTGGGCTGCCTCGACTAAGCTTGTTAGGGCCAACCTGGACTGAATGGGGCACATGATCCCAGCAGAGACTGACAAAAACAACCTTCCCATCAGGAAAACGAACCCAAGTCCCATGCGTGTATTTTAAAGCCTAACAACTACACAACGCAAGCAGATAGAATGGCACCTTGGTTCGTGAATACATTTGAAGCAGTGTCTTGTAAATCTATCTTTATTTGTTTCTTCCCCTTTTGTAGTTCTGTTTTTTTTATGACGAATAATAAAACAAATTTAATATAAATCTAAATGGGTGGTCGTCTTAAACAGGTAGCTTTTATTTCTGTTTTTTTTTCTCTTTCAAAACGTTAAATGACGTCCACTAACCTTCACTGTCATAGCTTATCCACATCGCTTTCCTAAAGGCCACCTGCTATCAAATTATCTTGTCCCTCCTCTTCTCTTTTTTTCATCGTCTTTATCCCAAAGACCACCCCCTCCCCTTTTCCAACTTCCAACCGTTTCTGTCAGTTCTCTCTCTACCTGACTCTCTCCATATCCCCTATCCCAACTACCAAATCTAATAAAGGTGTCACTATAACAATAATCATAATAATAATAATATCAGCAGCAGCTACCCCCCCTCCCCCACACGCCCACCATACCACATTCTTCTCCCACTCTTTATGTTTCATAAAGGCCACTCATCATCGACTAGTATCCACCAATCCCCCCCTCCCCTTTCTTCGTCCCCGGGCTGCGTTTCACTCGGTTTTAATCTAAGGCGATCATTTATTCATTGGGAGCCGTAGAACAAAAGGACGTGAAGGCGCATGGCCAACCCGCTTGACGCTTACGAGAAATGAATAATTCAATAAATAACATGGCGGCAATACAGCTTCCGGCAGACGATGCGGTGCCACGTAAGCGCGCAGTAGGCGGTCGGTGCTTTCACTACATCCTTATCTTGTTTTTGTCGGGGTGTCTTGGGCAGTGGGATAACCCCGGCATGGATGCTTGCTAGTCTGAGTGTTAGTGTGTGTGTGTGTGTGTGTGTGTGTGTGTGTGTGTGTGTGTGTGAAGAGGAGTTGAGTTTTACATCGAGAGGCCAGGATAACGACCGCATTTTGAAAGGATCGGATAAATATGATAGAAACACAGAAAATAAATACTAGGAGCCGAGTACCACATATCATCTCATAACAATCCTCGGAGACAGAAGGGAGACAACGGGAGAGAAACAAACAGACAGACAGACAGACAGACAGACAGACAGACAGACAGACAGACAGACAGACAGACAGACAGACAGACAGACAGACAGAGAGACAGAGAGAGAGAGAGAGAGAGAGAGAGAGAGAGAGAG